AGAAACTTTGTAAGATGCTTAGGTGAAAGTTTATTTAATCCATTGAGACTACTTTAACTGGGATTTATGACTGGATTTAGATCATTGTTTTATTTACTTAAAAATATGGATTCTACCAAGTACTAGTCTGTGGTACAAAACAGACTCACCTCCTGTCCACCTCCTTGTCATCCCAACACTCATTATAGGGTAGAAGGCAGCAATATATGACATAGCATAAGCCAGCATGCAAACCATGTAAGATTCCTCCTCTACCATTCAGCCAAGCCAGATTCCCACAGCTATGAAAATACTTTTAGCACTAGAGTTAGACCACAAATAAGTTATCATTTATGAAATTATATTTATAATGTCTGACATAGTTATGCAGTGAGTCCTTGGTATCCACTGGGATTTGGTTCCAGGACCCCCCATGGATACCAAAATCTGTGGATGGTCAAGTTCCATCAAATAGTAAAATGGTGTCCCTTATATAATATGGCAAAATCAGGGTTTGCTTTTTGGAATGTGTATATTTTAAAAATATTTTCAAGCCATGGGTGCTTGAATCTGTGGATAAAAAAATCCATGGATATGGAGGACTGACTACTTTCATAACTGGGAAAAGGAAAATTTTACAAGTTGGCAAGATGTAGTGGTTTGATCATTGGATGACTCTAGAGACCAGGGTTTGAATCTCCAGTTGATCATGAAACCCACTGTGTGACCTTGGGCAAGTCACATTCTCTCAGCCTCTGAGGAAGGCAATGGCAGACCTCCTTTGAACAAATCTTGCCAAGAAAAAGTCAGAAGCAACTTGAAAGCAAACAACAGCAACAAAACAACAACAAAAACAAACAAGTCATGGATAGTTACCTATTTCCATTTTTTGATACTAGGTATAATGAGTGCAGCAAGCATATATCTCATAAAACTGAGCAGATCCTGGTGAGCCATCTGACTTTCTCATTCCCTTTCCAGGACATCATGAGTAGTGAGGGACTTGCTTTGGCCAATTTCTTAGCTCCCTGTTTTCCAATGCTACCACCACATTACTACTTCTTCAAGCAACATCCTCCTTTTTTCAGTTTCTTGGAATCCAGTGAGCAACCTGGACTGGTAGCATTTTTCCTCTTTCATTTTAACAAAATATATAAAAACTGTTTCATAGCCTGATGCCATGGCAAAATGTTCGTTTATTTAATCTCATCCCAGCCTTCCTCCAAGAAAGACAATTTGCAAAATTCTTGGTAGACAGTCTTTGAAGTTTTGGAATAATGAAGATTGTTAGGGGGTTATTCAGACCATGAAAATAATCCCAGTAGAATGTGCGTTGAATCTTTGTTGTCCGCATGCATTTCGAATGTATCCGCTTAAGTTGGTGGAGGGCTGCCAAAAAACCCACTTAACCCTGGATAATCAATCTCGGTTTTCCTAAAAGATTTGCGTTGTTGGCTGTGTGAATAACCAATATGAATAGATCCAGGATAAACCAGGATAAAATTCTGCATGCCTTGAATGTGTTTTGAATATCTGCATCAGTGACTCCATCTTTATTTGAGCAACATGTGTGAGTAACACAACACGCAGAGATGCACATAAATGCACTTCCAATAAAAAATATAGTGTGAACAGAACTGGAATGTCTGAATGAGATTAATCAGATAGTCTGAATAACCCCTAGGAACTTTCACAAACTGAAAACTCTGGGGTTGACATTTCTTATTGAGTTATGTAAAGCCTGGAGTCATATATCACTGGAGGCTATCCAGGTACAATCAAAAGACTTTGGCAATTGAGGTGATATTTGAGTAGCCTCCTTGGTTGCTTGCCAGGGAAACTCCCATACTAGTAATTGATGTGCAAAATGCAAATACACGCTACTTCTGCCACAAACACCATTACACATGCCCAGAATGGAAAACAAGAAAAAAAAATCTCTGAAGAGAAAGGAATTGTGCTTAATTTAGTAAAGTTTTAGTTCCTATTAGTTAGCATTTCAGCTAAACACAGGGTCCTTTTAGGTAGTTAATTTAAAAAAACAAATAATATTTATTAATAACTTTAAAAAATAAAAAAGCCAGCATACATATACAGACTATATAATAAACATAAAGACATAGAAAGTGATGGGGTGAAGGTGGAGAAGAGAAAAAGAAAACAAAACCAACACCAAAAAGGGGTTAGGGAAACAAAGCCAGGAAAAAAAAGAAAAAGAAAAATTTAAAAATCCATCCTAATACTGTAATATACTTTTCCCCACTACATCCCCCCTACTCCCCATTAAAACAAGATTTCTTTAAATTCTCTATCCACCACTATTACATATATTCCAACTACAACTCCATCATTTTATTCTTCAATATTTGTATATCCTATAATACATATCCCCTTTTCTTTCCTAAATATAAAAACTTTATATTTATTTTCTAGACATTGAATCCCATAATTACAATATCCCTCTTTATTTTCTGCATGTGAAGTGTGAAAGCCTTGCTTTAAAAAAATATCTCATCTGAATTTCCCTTTACATAATTGGTTAATTTATCCATCTCTGCCAATTTTATTGTTGTTAAATTAAATTTTACTGTAGTTAAATTAAAAGATTAACAAGAATTCAAAGCACATAGCTGAGCTAGTCTGGAAAATCAGTATGCCTTTTATCTGGCAAGATCACTTGTAACCATTAATCTTTTAACTAAGTGATCTTGTAGCACCTTTGAGACTATCTAAAAGAGAGAGGTTGGTAGCATGAGCTTTTGTAGACTTGCCATGAATCTGAGGGAATAGGTTCAAGTCTACAAAAGTTCATGCTACCAACTTCTTTCTTTCAGTTAGTCTCAAATGTGTTACAAGATCCATTTGGTAGAAGATTAACAGTTATAAGTGACCTCACTAGTAAAAAAATCAATCAGAATCAGGCAGGAATTATGTAGGTAATTGCAATTAAACAAGCCTGCTTAATGTCGTCTTCTCTATGGCTTTCTCTTCAAACTTTGTCATGGGGTCATGCTATGTATTCCTATCTGTGAAAGTGGTCTCTCTTCATTGGCAGCTTGTGTGAAGCCCCCTGCATTGATTTACACACATAGTTCAGTTCAATTTTAATTGCTTATAACTATAGGTCATCACAATGTTTGATATTTGTATGATCTCTTTGTTTTATATTGTGATGACCTATGGATATAAGCAATTAAAATTGAACTGAACTGAACATAGAGCTCCTGAATCCATTAGGTGCCCAGTTGTACGGCCAGCGGTTGTAT